GTATACGACTTGGCGATGGTAAGTCGTGCTTTAGTTGCTTGCGCGGGACTCGGGCTAATCTGGACGTAGGATCTTCCTGAGTCAGATCATCTTCTACAGCGCTCTCATGCCGGTACTGTTCTTCCTTCTCCCTGAGGTGCGACCAGATGTCATTCTCGCCCAGCGTGCACGTCATATTCGTGCCAAGACTGGGAAAGAGGTGTATGCCCAGGCTGAGAGAGAGCACACAAGTTTTGGCGAAATTCTCAAGGAGACGCTCGTTCGACCAACACGTATGCTGTGTACCGAAGGTGTAGTCCTTTCCTTTGGGTTATGGAGCGCCTTCTGCATCGGCACAGCTTTCATGTTCACACAATCCATCGTACAAGTCTTCTCAGAGCTGTATGGCTGGTCTTTCTTCGGCACAGGTCTCGTACAGTCCGCCGTCGTAATCGGGGAGCTCATCGGTCTCATCGCATCTCTAGTTCAAGACCGCATCTATTTCGCATCCGCGCGACGCAACAACGAAACTCCAGGGCAGCCGATCCCAGAAGCGCGACTCTATCTCAGCATCCCAGCTTCGTTCATCGGTCTGAGCGGCGGATTGTTCTACTTCGCATGGACGTCCTATTCCTCCCTACCGTGGATTGTACCCAGTATATCGCTCGCTTTCGTGGGCTTTGGTATGTTCTGCAGTACAGCGGGAGTAACGACGTATGTGGTTGATGCGTACGCGAAGTACGCTGCGAGTGCTATCGCCGGCATTGCGTTTCTGGAGAACTTTATGGCGGCTTTCTTGCCGCTTGCGACGCAGAGTATGTATCGTACGTTGGGATTTAATTGGGCGAGTAGTCTTTTGGGGTTTATCGCGTTGGCGTTGAGTTTCATTCCTTTGATTCTGTTGAGGTTTGGGAAGAGCATACGTGGGAAGAGTCCGTTTATGAGGGAGGCGGGGTACGAAGAATGAGTATGCGATAACTTTCAGTAGATGGGGAAGGAGAACACACGATGCAAGACATATCTTTGCATAACGAACATGTGAATGTAGGACGTGTGATTGAAAGAGCATGAATGCCTTGGTTGTGAGATGTGTTGCAGTGGCGTGAAGCAAAAACCCACATGCGGAGGACGATTGGCGTACCAGATGGACCAGACGCGACACCTTCACTCCATCGCCTGAGCCAGGGCAATCGCAGAGAACCTCAGGTCTCCCCCTTTCTCAGACTCAATCCTCATCAAACGTCCAATCCCCTTCTCCACCGCAGCCGGACTAAGCACATCCTCGTCCTCCTCCAACACACCCCGATCAAGCGGACCCATGCGCCCGCCTTCAAGTTCCCACAGGTGCCCATCTTTCGCCTTGACAAACGCCACGAAATGCTGACCAGTGTGCGCCTCCTCGATCTCTGCAGGTGGGGTAGAATCCCCCAGTTTCACGGCATCTGCGTGGGCCTTCTCGAACGCGTCGGAGTCTTCGAGCACTCTCGCGCGCTCCCAGATGGACTTTGGTAGCGCATCTTCGCGGATCTGGGCTAGTGTTGAAGAGGGCTGGATGTGGTCTGCAGCGTCGCTGTTGAGCAAACAGTGCACAAGGCCTATGCTTCCGCAAGCGTTTCCTATGGTCTGCTTGAACCATATGACGGGTTCGGCGTCGCCTTTACCCTCGTACTCGGCCTTGTCCTTGTCTTCGGTAGTTCGCGCTTCGTCCCAGGTTGGTGTCAGAGGTATAATGACAAGTAGTGCTACCGCTGGTCGCGGGATGAAGCTCAGCATGTCGGAGTCAGTGAGTGAGTAGATGTCGTAGAAAGAGAGCGCTGTCGTGTCCAGACCGAGGTCTTGAGCCAGGTGGTTCATGACCTCTGGGTTGTTCTCAAGGACGTTCCACATCTTCATCGGCATCTTCTGTGGGATCTCTTGCGACATTTTGAAGGGAGTTGTGGTTGTTCAGAGATGCTGGGGGTTGAGTTGGGCTGGCTGGTGTTTAGTAGACTTCAGGTGTGGAAAGGTTAGTCTTGATGAATATGCTGCTTCCTAGGCAGCGATCAGACGCGTAACAACGACATTCAGTGACAGGCAGCCATGCAGGTACGCTGCAGGTAAGTGGAAGGGCGTACAGGGCGGACAAAGGTGGGGAAGGATCAGGCCCACCGAAAAGGGAAAGGCCCCGCGCTAACCCTGAGTTAGGCGCGGCTGGCGGGGCATCATTCAATCCCCGCGGTGGCAGCATCCCATCGAAGTTCAGACAACGCATCATCTCACAAACTTTACGTATGAAACTGCCTTGTGGATACTTGCTGTCTACCTGTAGTCAAATGATGTTTTTCCGCAGTCGTCCATTGGCGCGGACCTCCGATCAACCTGTAGGGCACACATGCCCTTGTGCCATCCGCCGGCTCTCCGCAGTAGTGAAGTCCAGCGCTTACATTTGAGCCTCTTCATCCATCACACATATTTATATGACTAACTTAGAGTCTCTCGGCGTATCTAAGCCCACCTTTGCCTGAAGAAGCAGCGAAAAAGACATTCAATCCTACCTCACCACTCCAGAGTCCCACTTTCGAGCTCACCATGGACGACGAAGCCAGACAAGCAATGGCAAGCATGAAGATGCCACGCCGCCCCATAAACTTCGTTTCTGCGAAACAAGGCGAGATACTCAAACTAGGTCAAATCACTTGCAGAGTCATGGAAGATGGATCGCGAACAGACAACCGCATAGGCTCTGCAGAGTTCACACTGCCTCCCAACACACCTGGACCACCAGCACACTGGCATGAGATGCACGACGAGACGTTCCTTGTTACCAAGGGAATGGTTCGGGTACGTATCTACCTTCCCATTCATCTCATCCTGCTTTACCAGATCAGATAGCTAACTCTCCTCACAGTTCCACGCACCCGACGGCGCCATACAAGATGCCTACGTCGGCGACTACGTTACTGTACCCATCCGTGCACCCCATACCTTCTCGAACCCCACAAACGAGGAATCCAAGTTCTTCAACACGTATACCCCCGCGTTCTACATCGATTACTTCAAGACGCTGGCTGAGATAAGTAAGACGGATGAGAAGATGATGAAGGAGAAGAACATCGAGGTCATGGCGCGGTATGCGACACTGCCTGCAAAGGAGATGATGGAGGAGCAGAAGAAGTAAAGGCTGAAAACAGCTTCTCTGGAATGATATAAGAATAGTGCTAGGAATACAATCATGCGCATGCGGTACGCACGAAAGAAGCTACAAACAGACGCCGGAGCTACCAATACAATGAAGAAGTCATCGCACAAATACCGCCAGGGCCAGCCCAGTGCAACATCAAATCACAGTCGTATCCCCCTCCTCATCCACTCTACAGATACTGCACTCCTGATACAACTTTGCGCAAAACTCCCTCACCGTCATGTCCGCACCCATATCCGTCCCAATAAGATGATTCTTCATGCAATACCACACCCACTGCCCCCCACTCGCCTCATCTCTCTTCAGGTAGTTCTCGCCCGGGCTCCACGTATCCAAACTGAATGTTATGCCAGTGAGCTGCGGCCCGCGCGGCACGGTGTCAGAGTACTCCGTGCCGAGCATCTTGAGCGATTGGGAAGCATGGTACCAGATCCAAAGCGGGTTCCAGAGGGGATCACCGAGGGCTTTAGCGTCGAGAGTAAAGGTCTTGACGTTGGACATGTGTTTGAGTTGCTCGCGCATGCGGCGGCCGAGCGTCCAGGATGAGGATGTCATGGAGCGCGGGTCTGTGACGCCGAGCATAGAGGATGTTGTGACGAGCTTGAGAGAGCAGTTTTGCACTTTGGAGAGCAGGTCGGGGGAAATGTTCCATACTCGGTTGTCTTGTGTTGATGGCGGGGGGAATGCAGATGGAGGGGTGCTGGTGGCGGGCTTGTATGTCTGGGGCGTGACGCTGAAGTGGAAGGTCTTGCGCTTGCAGATCATGTCCATGTATTCTGAGTACACTTGCTTGTTCGCTAGGAATATCCATTTACTCTCGTGTCGCACGGGCGAAGATGTCGATGTCGATGTCCAGCGCGCGGGTCGCATCCAGTTCAGCGTTGAGCGCTGGATCTCGTTGCGCGCCGGTGGCGGATAGATGGGGTCGTCAAGGAAATGCTCGTACACCATATCCCGCAGCTCTTGTGGTAGGTCCAAGAATCGGAACGGCTTCTTGTTCTGGTATTGCATCTTGCGGTACTTTCTGAAAGCGACGACGCATAGTAGGGGAAGTAACAACGCGAGGAGGGTTATCCAGCCCTTTAGCTCAACGCCAGCAATACTGTATTCTGAAAGCCATGGCTGCCAGCGCGACAGCTCGCTCGTCTTTATCGATGCGGATGCCATGACGATGCTCATGGTAAAATGTGGGGTGCCGTGTAATTGAGCGTGCCTAGCACGCTAGCGGAATACGTGCGATGCGAGGAACACGATGGTGCCAGGGGGCGCTGTCCAGCTTCCCTCACACAAAGGGATCGTGCGCACACGCGTGATGCAAGACTGCGCGATGAGTCGAAATGAGATGATGGGTGGAGGTGCAAACAAGGGAGGTTGTGGAGGAATGCGCGAGGGGGAGAGACGCAGCTGAGTAAGATAATCAATACTGATGCCTTGCGGATACGACTTGATGAGGCAACCTGAAACGGGTCGCCTTGCGCCGCAGCTGCTAACAACGACATCGCCACGTTGACACTATCGTCAGGCGGCACAGCGTCAGACATCCATCATCTCCGTACCTGACGCACGTGTTCGATCATAGGTCGCACACATTAACGACCAGAACAAGAGAGGCACTTATTCGAAGACGCGCACGATGGACTTTGTGTACGTAGAATCTCGATATTCTGTTAATGCCTGGCTCAATGCACCTTGGAGGAAGGTGTATGCTACCTAACACGAGGCAAGTCGTTCGACAAGACTTCCAGCGAGTACTTCTTAGGTGTCTCTTAGTGCCATCTCAAAGATGGCTATGTCCGACGCTCGATTGGCGACTGAACGCCGGCACGCACCCTACTGTCGATCACTCCTTCCTTACCACCACTGCCACACCGATAGTCTTGAGGTAGCGAACTTCTGCAGACTGCTCAAGACGCTGCTTGAACCCAATATCATCTCCATATCCAACTGAACACACAACCTCAACTCGTTCCAGGTCTAGAAAGTCGGTCTTCGTCAGCTCTCCTAGCCAGCTCGTAAGCTTGGACTTGTGATCCCCGTCATCTGGCCCTGGAGACCTAGGATGGGTGATGACTAGACTTCGAATGCGACGAGGTAGCTGGTGAGACGGACTGGACCCTTCGAGTCGCTGGAAGTTGTGACTATCCACCAAAGCACATTCTGCAATCTGGATCCGCTGTAATGGTCCGGAGGTCCTGACGTCCAGGCAAACAGTTGAATCGTCGCCGAAATGTACAGGCTCTGCGTATTTGAATATCAAGTTCTCGACGGAGAATCCGTAAAAAAGCAATGCCTGCACGACCCGTTTGCTAAATGAGCCCGTATTGCCAAAGGTCGAGCAGCGGAAACGGTCTTCATCACTCCGAGGAAATCTGGGGTGACCCACTTCCCGCAGATAAGAACCCAAAGTCAATGTATGTACATTCGGGAGACATCTGAGGAACGTTGTCGCTCCCAGGAACCTGCTGTCTTGACCTCCGGCTTCAGCTTCGAGTGTGAGAGATGTAATATTGGGGGCTTCGGCGTTGACTGACGGCATCGGTAACTTCGCCCGAATTCCTATGCATAGGGTATGAAGCGTAGGTAGTGTAACAACCTGCCAGTCCAGATAACCATGAGAGAGGTGGATAGATGTAAGCTTCGAGAAGCAGGGTAGAGCTACGAGCTTGTTCAAGGGAATCGAGAGCCTTCCGAAGACGGTCTTGTTGATTCCAACCTTCAGATACGGAAGAACATAGTTATCAGGATCGTCGAACTCGGTTCTGCAGAGGAATTCATCCAGAGCGGTAATGGTCAAAGAACGCAACTCGGTGAGACGAGCCAGGAGGTCGCAAGCGAGCTTCTTCTCGTTGACTTCAACCACATAGCTTCTGGGCTTACTCATCAGAGCGACAGGTGACACACCGGAATACATGAGCTGTGGATACTCGACAAGTGTCGAGCGCGGCAGGAACCATAGATCCTGGACTTTGGGCGCCAAGTGAGGCTTTTGTTTGATAGTCCAGAGAAACACGGCGAGAGCAGACTTGGTGGGTTGGTCGAATGTGGACTCGTTGTCTGAATCTTCCCAATTTTCCCAATCTTCGCCGCCTGGACGAAGGTCGACAACGCGGTAGAGGACATCCTGCGCAGCCTCTGTGTAGCGCTTCGAGGCGCGTGACAAGGAACATAGACCCTTGTAGTCCAGGCTTTCAGCCACTTGTATCAGAGTCTCGACGGCGCATCTATCGATGTGGCATTTGCCCGATGTCGGAATCGAGGGGTCTTGCATCGCGAGCATACCGAGTGCGCTGGAGAGGTCGGCGTCGGGTGTTGAGGTCGCTGACACCGCGGTATCTGAGGCGGGGCTTGAGAGCGCCATGGCAGTCATATGCGCAGAAGAGACGATGCAGAGACTGGTGTTGGAAGTCGCTCGGTAGTAGTAAGTGGTGAGAGACGAGACGCGCTAGTGGTAGCAAACACAAGGGCATGGCCCAGAAGGGAAAGTGCGTTTGCACACCTTGTTCACCTTCACCACGAGATACGAGCGTGGGCTTTTGGACATCAGGCAAGAGCCGAATGACAGACAGGTAACCAGATCAAGTTGAGAGGAGTATGGTTTCTATGTACAGTCTGGGTTGAGTTGAGTTTCATCAATGCGGAGGAGTGATTACTTCACCACCGTAGATGTTCCGAAATCATTCCAAGAGAGGAGAGTGTAGCCACGAGCCGTACGCGACCGAACCCATCTTCAACGCTTCTTTATGCCGTATCGGATCTCTTGCACATCGAGACGTCGTAAGACATCTTCGTTGAATCAAGTCAGAGCGCGAGTTTGCTCTTCAATCTCTCGCGTTTGCTCTTTAAACTTTCGAGTTTGCTCTTTAATCTCTCGAGTTTGCTCTTTAATCTCATTGATCTCTTCGATCAACTTCAGTTGCTCTTCTATTCTCCGGCGCTGATTGCGCATAGCCAGGATCAACAGAATAGGCATGTCCCAAGGTTGCATTTTTTTGGTGTTGAAACGTTGAGCGGATTCTTATGAGTCAGTAATGCCTAAGACCAGAGGTGAAGTACTCACTGAAAACGTTGGTGAACGAGAAGGTAAAGAGTGGGAAACACTTCAGCTGTAGCCTTTTGTACGTATGAGCGATAGACGACGAAAAGATCTGTTACAGAATGTGACTTTGCACATCTTTTCAGTCTCTCTTAATTGCGCTGCTGCCTACGAATTATCCAGGGTTCGTGACATGTTAACCATGGTACACAACTACCAAAGTTGCATCAAGACCCTTTGCGAACCTCCAGCACGGAAACCACCACGGAAAAGTCACGTCATGAAAACTTTGTAAAGAAAATGCGTTCATTTCTTAAACATTAGAAACTACCAAATTATTAGGTATTATCCTCAACAACTACTTCTTCCCACTATTACTGTCCCGAGGAACGCTTAGTATCCAAGCTGACCCCTAACAGCACCAGCAACAAACTGCGCAGTGTGCGAGTCAGTGAAGAAGCCCTTGGGGTTAGCTACAATCTGCTTGACATGGAAGCCATCAGCCTGGTCCTTCTGGGTAGTCGGGTTAATAACGCCAACAGTGAAGGGACCCTTGAGGCAGCCAACAGAAGTGCGGCGCTCATCGGGGCCGGTGGGGTTGGGGAAGGCCTGTGAGATGTGTGTTAGTAATCGTCTCTGGTATGCAGAACGCAATTGGTAGCGGCGGCAAACTTACAAGTCTGGGTGGTCCAGCCTTGCCCTTGACAGCCTCGTGGATGTGGGTCGCAGTGAGCGCAGGGGACTGGTAGTCTCCAGTGACACCGCTCAGGGTGATGTTGTAGCAGATGGTGTTCTCAGCGATGTTGATGCCGTATTTGAAGAGGCCCTTGGCGCCGGGCTGACCGGGAGCTGGTGCGCCGGTGTTGGCGATGACCTGGTCGGGGGTGGCCTTGACGACGTATTCGGCGTCGAAGTAGAAGAGCTTCTCGTTCTTCTTCCAGCCGTTGTCCTTAGCGTTCCATTTGGCCTCCAAATCCTTCTTGCAGTCGGTCTTGTAGTCGTGCTTGCCGGCAGTGGGAGCGGCGAAGGCAAGGGGAGCGGAGATGAGAGCGAGAAGGGCGGGGGTGGTGAAATGCATGTTGGATGTTGGGTAAGTAGCGGAAGCTGTAGAGTGGTATGTGGATGTAGTGAGGAGGATGTGAGATGCTGATGAGAAACAAATGAAGCTATCCTGTGCGGTCCTTTATACACATACGGCTCTCCACTTCACCATCAGAGCTCAACTTCATTTCCCTTCTGCCCTGGCCCGATGACATCGGTGGACGACGCACTGCAGGCATGGATCGGTGGTAAAGACTCTTGGAGATGGACACTGGTGTCTTGGTGAAATCTTCAACGTGAGTTTTGCCAAGTCAACAGTATGATTTGAGATCATTTCCGCCATGGCCGAGCCCGTACATGCGATGTAAGGCGTGACCCGCGGTATGGGTAGTGGTCTTGGTATCTCCATCCTGCTGACAAGAACTTAGACGGAAGGAGTGAACCCCGATGCGAGACTGCCGTCTGCATGAATCTGGCCAACGAGAGTTGAGCCCATTAGAAACCTAGCATGTGCGCCCAATGAGCACAGCGCTCGAACGTGCCGTAGAAGACGCCGTCCACCGTCTTGGTAACGGAAGATCCCATACTTTTGCAAGGCGAGCTTGCATCCATCAAGCCCACGATCGCCCCCAAGATATCGCCTAGCTATCTTGGTGCGGGTAGAGTAAGATCCGTAGTCTTACCCCAGCTCCTGATCGGGCTTACTCCTTCACCAAGTCTTCCTTTTTGAGCCATGATCTACCTACCCGCGTGGCTGTGCTGACTGAAAAGGACTACGTGCCCAAGGCGCTAGCTCGCGTTGGCCTTGATGTCGACCAAACGTACTCGTAAGGCGCTATCGTTTTCCCCAGAGAATTGAAATAGACCTTCGGGTCTCGATTGATCTTGACGTTGGTGTCCGCAGCGGAGAAGTTTAGTGAACTTCTTAGGTACGCTTGGCTGCAGCGCCGTGGGTGCCCTGGAAGGATGCCACTCATCACTGAGTTGTCCGATGTGGTGAGTTAATGTTGGTCTTCATCGCAATCTGTTGTAATACCGTGTATGTCTGGTGAACTGTCAGACTTTAGTTGTGATGTTCAGGAAGAAGAAGCTCCCGGTGCTTCCAGCTGACAGGATGACATCACCAGTGGACAAATGCCAAGATCCACCCGATAGCGGCCTGATCTCCGCCTTCCTCCACACTTTCCGCGCACTACCGAGTTGTCAAGCCGGGCTCGGATCTCTAGCAGCACGACGGTTCAAACGCCCAGCCAGCGTTGTTTATGGTTTCAAGTAATCACCTCCAAGGAATCAAAAAACATGTCGGCGAGCAGTTTGTTTATGTGTCTATTTCTTGGTACTTTAGGTTCAGCTCGGGCTTGGGATGCTGGGTAACTGAGCCGAGTCATCCGCTACTCTACAAAACCGACAAGTTCGCCTGACTAACAAACCAAGTACCGTTATTAGTATCAACAGTCAGATTCGTCTGCACCGTCTTTCCACCCTTCAAACTTCCACTCTCTACCATACCACCAGCGACAGGCCTCTGCAGCCTATTCTCTCCACTCTTGACCGTAAAGTTGGCAATGGGAATCTCCCAGCCGTTACGCGTAACAACAGTCGGCAGGCCGAAGAAGTTAGCGGTCATCTCGTCGTGGGTGAAGTGCAGCTCAAAGTAGCCGCGGTAGTAGAGGTCCTGCCACTGGAGCTCAGCGTTGGAGGACTGGATGATGGAAGAGTAGTTGTTGGCGGTTGCGAGCGTGATGTTCGCGCCGTAGGGGCAGGGCGATGTCACTGCTGAGCCGGCGAACTCGACACCGATGCTGCCGGCGCCGGTGCTGGAGTCGTACTCCTTCTCGTCGAGCCAGATGAGGTCGCTGACCCAGGATGCGTGGCTGTCACCTGCGAGGAAGATGTTGTTGTTGATGTTGTTGCTGTACAAGTGGTTGAGCGTGCGGTTCTTGTTCGATTGGTAACCATCCCATGCATCGTAGTTCAGCGGGTTATCTTCTCCATAGGCAGCGGATTGGTTGACGCGCGAGAAGACGATTTGAGACCCGACGATACGCCATGTTGTGCCACGCTCGGAAGACTCGGAAAGACTGCGGTAGAACCAGTTCTCTTGACGGGAGCCCATCAGAGAGCGGCCGGCATCGTTGGAGATGTCGTGGACGTAGTCCGTGTTCCAGTAGAGATCGGTGATGGAACGATCGTACTGGCGGGTATCGAGCATCATCAAATCGACAAGCTTTCCGATGGAGAACGAACGCCAGATGCGCAGGTTGTCGTCCATGTCGACCTGACGGATTGGCATCCATTCGAAGTAGGCGCGAACGGCGTTCATCTTGCGCTGGTCGACTGAGACACCACCGTCGCGGAGGAAAGAGTCTTCAGTGTTGTTGAGCTCAGACATGCCGTCACGGTAAGTGTTGTCAGCAACCTCGTGATCGTCCCAAACAGGAATCCAAGGGAATTGCTCGTGGCTAGCAATGAGATCAAGGTCGGTACGGTAAGTCGCGAGCCTCTTTCGGTAGTCGTAAAGAGTGAAGATCTCACGGTCTGGCTGAGGAATGCGGCCAAGCGAGTTGCCCCAGCCGTAATCTCCATTCTTGTATTCGTAGATGTAGTCACCGAGATGAACGACGTAATCAACAGAGTCCTGGTTCGAAGATTAGCTCAGTAGAAAAAATGACCAGTCTTCAGCACGCACCTTGCGAACGGTGTTTCCGTAGGCGTTGAAGAAACCAAATGGGTAGTTTGCACAGCTGTACACAGCGATGCTAACATCGGTGATATCGTCGTCCGCATTTGGCGTGGTCTTTGTACGCCCAAGAGGACTCTTGTTCTCCGAACCGCACACATTGAACTGGTAGTAGTAATTCGTGTACGGCTTCAAGTTCTTGGCCTCGACCTTGACGGTAAAGTCTACATCGGAGCTTGTGAACACCTTTCCCGAGTCGACGACTGTGGAGCAGTTCTTGTTGTCGTAGACCTTGTATTCCACGCATACTGGCGCCTTGGAAACTTGGACGTACTTTTCGTTGTCGTGGTCGAAAAGAGGTGCGTAGCCGGTGACCGTGACATTGGACTGCGAGTTGTCGCTTTGAGGAGCGACGCGGGTCCAGAGGATGACGCTGTTGGGGTATGGGTCGCCTGAAGCGACACCATGGGTGAAGTTCAAGCTGGAGGCGGCATAGGTACTTGCTGGGTCGTTCCTCTTGACAACCTTGTGGATTGAGACACCCAGGGCAGGGTGATGCTCCGAAGGCGAGCGGTAGTTGATGTTCTTCGACCAGCTAGCGCTGGCGATAGATGCCAATGGCAGCAACGAAAGGTATTGAAGCTTCATATTGACAAACGGCTGCTGGAGGACGCCGATCGAACTTGCCAGCCCAAAGCTACCGGCTCTCCGGGCCTTTTTGTAGCTTTCGAGAAGATTGAGCCATTTTCAAGCTTCAGGATTCCGGGCAAGCTACGCCTGGACGTTTCTGCGTCTCTACTGCGTCATGCCTGCAGGAACAGAAGTTCACGGAACGCAACCCTTCAATCACAGCTCGTGGAGGGACCATGCTGCCATGTCGGTAGCGTTGACACGGGATGGTGGGATTAACGGTAGCGGGGCGAACATCGCAATGTAGGAAAGTGAAGATGCAACCTAGTAGTTAGTCGTCATCAGCAGCAATACAGCTCTCTTGATTTGTTGCGCTCCTAGGCTATTGCCGAGATGCAGTACGGCGCCGCGCACATGTCTAGGAGCTCTGCGCCTATTGGTCACTAGGAGCCGAAGCGGGTAGCTTGCACTGGAGTGAGAAAGGTTCAGCAACATTTCGACGGGTCGACTTGGATGAATGAAGCAGGTGCATCTGTAGATCGGAAACGATAAAAAATGGTGTCTACCGAGGTATTGTATTGATAAGTGATGGCTGGGAAGCGGTGTCGAAAGTCGGAGTAGAAAGCTCCGCGAGGTTTTGCTTCGGAGCAGGCAGCCCGCATGCTCCGAAACATGACCGCGCCTTCCTCCTAAACTCTCATTCCCGTGCTGACGATCCCGAAAAGAGTTACTCGAAGCTGCGATACTTCTCACTCGGGACACTATTTCACGTATGATTCGTATGTAATGCAGAAGGTGTGGCTGTTCATTACAAGCTGCGCTTCAAGCCTTTCCTCCGTCGGTCCTGCTCCAACGGCGTATACTCACCTCTGGGTTATCGCAGTACCACGGATGAAGAAGGGAATCCACCTCTGACTCGTATTGCTGGCTGTTCCTGTCAACTTCTACACAAACAGTTTATAAACCCAATACCCCGCATAAATCACCACCCCAACAACCCCCCTCCCCCACCCCGGCACCTGCTCCTCCGCCTGCCAAAGCACCCACGTCTCAATACTCGTCCTCGGCGCCCCAGGCGTAAACAACATAGCATTCTTCGCGCCCTCGGTACGCCGCTGCGCAGCATGCGCATGCCTAAACAACGCCTTCTCATACCCCTCTACATACCGTCCCAGCGCCTCCACCCCATTAACACCTAAGCCGGCGGAGGTAGATGAACTGTACGCAACAATCTGCTCCGTAAGAACCATGGCGTCGTGAAACGCGGTATTAACGCCAATCCCCGCAAACGGCGTCATGACGTGTGCTGCGTCGCCTAGGAGCGTGATGCCGGGTCTGTGTGGCCAGGTGAAGCCTCCGGGGAGTTGGTAGAGGTTTCGCCACACGAGTCCTGTTGTCGCTTTTTCTACTGCGGAGAGGAGCTGGGGTGCCCAATCGTGAAGTCCCTTTCTCAGTACTGCTTTCGCTGCTTCGATGTCGTTCTGGGCGTCGAAACCGCATGTTTGGGCAAAATCTTCTGGGTGCTGACCGTAGTAGGCAACGTAGATGGAGGAGTCGGAGAGTTGTTGTATGGACAGCGATTTTCCGTCGGAGTAGGCGAAGACGCTGCCTCTGTTGACGAAATTGTAGAGGTCTGGTGCGGCGGTTGAGGCGTTGGGTATGTACATTGTCCAGCCGCCTAGACCGGCGTAGTATGGCTTCTCTGATGTTAAGAGGTTGCGTGTTTTGCTGAAAGCGCCGTCGCAGCCTACGATCAAGTCGAAGCCGTCTAGCACCTCGCCGTTCGCGAAACACAAACGCAGTCCTGAACTGCTTTCTTCGACGCGCGAGAGCTTGTAGCCCCAGCGAACAGCGTCATGAGGTAAGCTCTCCATGAGCATTCTCCTCAGTTCTGTACGATCGATCTCTGGTGCGTCTCCTGGGCTCAGCTTTCTGTCTGCTGTCTTGCGTCCACCTCTTCTCAACCATGTCGTGAGGTTTTTATCGGTGACAAGCAGACTCTCGCCGTCGTAGCGAGCATACTTTTGGAACTCGTCCCACAGACCTGCTAGTTTTATTGCAGCGAGACCGGTGTTGGCGCGCAAGTCCAAGGTGCCGCCTTGCGAACGGTAATTGATGGAGGCTTCTGCTTCGAAGATAGTGGTGCTGCAGTCACATTGGGTGAGTAGTAGGCGTGCGAGCATGCAACCGCCGGGGCCTGCGCCAATGATTGCGATTTTTGGTGCCATGTTTTTGTTACTCTTTAATATAGATCGCAGTAGTATTGCAGGACGAGGTTAACAATCAGCGCTGGTGTGATTCTTTCATATCCACCTGCAGCTTGGCTGAGGAGCTTCTTAAGGCTTGTTGAAGCTTACCTGTTAGGCCTCCAGTGACGCTGTCGCATTGTGCACCGGGTTAGGTTAGACGATGCTAACGGTGGCTGCCTCGTGTAACGTGGAGCAGGAACGTCGGTTCTCAGAAGCGAGACGAGGAAGAGCGGCCCGCGATACCATCCTCCAAGTCGAGCAAGAAGTGTAGATACCACAAAAGAACGCAAGAAGCCAGAGCAATGTTTTGATCATTGTATGTGCAGTACGCGAGAGAAGTATGTGCAGAGTAAGACGTAAGTATGTACAAGAAGAGGCGCCGATGTGCATCTACACGGTTCCCAATAAACCAAGAGCGAGATGCATCTAGCTCATGCTCAAGCTGTACTCAGTAACAGTAAGCTTCGCCTTGCTACCGGAGAAAGGCTCAGTGCCAGCTCCAACACTTGTCAAGATCTGGCTGCTGGGCATACCATGCTTGCCGGTAACCTCCTTGACAAACTCCATCAAATCGCCATTGAAGCTGTTAATCTGCTTCTCGGCAACAAAGCTGAACACATTCATCTGGCCGTTCTTGCCGTTGTACAACTTCCAGCTGTTGCCAGCCAGGGTCACGGTAGCAATGGGGCTGCCAGTGGCGGAGATGGGACCAGCGCCTCCGAGAGCACCGACCCAGATCATGATTTCGTACTCGGGGTCACCGCCGGCTTTGGAGGAGGTGAAGAGGTCGTAGGAGACGTTTGCGACGAGGTCGTCGCCGGCGTAGGACCATTTCCAGACCGAAGGCAGCGATTTGATGGATGAGAGGGCCTTTTGGGTGATCTTTGTTACGACGTTGGCGTAAGACTTAACGTGTCCGGGGCTGGAGGAGGTGTTAGTATGAGTTTGGTGTCAGAGAGAGAAGAGGACATACCCGCCAGTCCAGGACCATGAAGTGTGCCACTTGAGGGTCCTGCCACTGAGACCATCAACGCCGGTGCATTGGGAACCGGATGTGGCGTCGGCTTGGCCCCAGAGGTTGTTGTAGACGGTGTAGTCACCGGTCACGGCGCTGTCCCATTGGCCGCAGTAGTCTGCACGCTTCTGGATGGTAGCAGTGGGGACAGCGAGGGCGAGAGATGCCGTGCTGGCGATGAGGAGCGCGCTGAACTTCATATTGACAGATGGTAGTCGAGAAAGGAGTGTGGTAATTTATTTGCTGTCTGGACTGCGTGTTGGAGACTTGGGAAGATGTAGATCGGCTTTAAGTACAACGTCAGACATCGTACGAGCTAAGAAATAGAAAGAGGAGAACGTGCTCACGGAGTATCTGTGTTCGTAGTCGACTCCGTTGTTTCGAAGGAATGAACATGTCAAGCAAGCTATGCCCGAACGAGACGCTACTCCTCTCAAGGGTGTCCCATGGTCAGGCCGTAGACTTGTCGATCATCCGAGAAAGGTGGGAGGGCCACTTGGCACATTGGTGGATTTGGCTGGTAGTTTAGTATTGATGGAGCTGACGGAAGAACCTCAGAAGCTGATCAGCAGCTCGTTCTCCAAAGACGATGTTCTTCGTGGTGTGCATCGATCTTGCGATGCGTCGGGAATGCTCCGCGCGCATGGATCCCTGTCCGTCAAGTCAAGCTTCCCCACAAGTCATTCCGCGCGCCTGAAACATTTCGCCGATGCTTGATGAGGGCAATATAAACGCCGGTGGACTAGGGAATAGGGCCACGGTAATTTTCCGACGCTCATGCGGGTCTAGACATGACCTCAGCTTCATGTCTTCTAATCATCTCGGACGAAAGATTCTTCAACCACGAGCGATCTGAGAAATTCCATGTCGGCTTCATTGCCGGTATCGCAGAAGGACTTCATCGTCGGCTGGAATTGTAAGCGACGGATAAACGGGTCTGGCTCGAAAGCGACTCACGGTGCCCATATCGCCTTTCCTGTCGACCTTCCAAGTATTACCCGATTGACGAATCTCGTGCTGAATGTAGAAGGGCTCCGGTTCTGATGTTTTCCAGAAGCCGGTTAGCTTTCTAGTAACTTGCCTCACTCTCTCTCCTACTACAGGCGTAACGGGTGCATCCAGCCAGGGCTGAACATTTTCCCATTTCTTGTCAGGCAAATCCCAGTTACCACCCTCAGATGCCTGCATGAGGACGTCCACCCTGAGTTCCTCGACGTTAGGGAAGTACTGGAGGATCCGGCTGATGGCAACTGAGGCAGCATTGGGCTTCGCTGCCTCACCAGGGTTGACGCGAGCATTCCCGCGTTTATCGATGAACACCTGCGGACCACCATTCCACCAGTCGTATCCGGGCCAGATAGCCAGCCTAAGCTTCTTAGTCCTGCCAATAGTTGGAAGTAGTGCGAGGAAACGAGGCGACATCTCTTCGCGCGTGGGGACGTAGTAACCGTGAGCCCCGCGTAGCTGGCGCTGGACCTCCACTGTAATACGCAGAGCGTCATCGTCGCAGGCACGCTCTGCTTCTTCGGCAAATTCGGTTCCGAGCCTCGCAGCCACGACGTTACTCAAGGGCTGCTCCTCCGAGTCTGGCGTTGTTGGAGTGACCTTTGACAGCAGAAGACGGTGTTCTAGACACTCTTCTCGTAGCTGCCGACACGTTGCTAGGATGTTTGGAGGTGGACGGGAAGGGAGGTAAATGCGTGTATCAATATAGGTATCCATGGGTATTTGACGCGATCTGTACAAATGCTGGGTGTCCTTTATCGAAGTCGATGTATAGACGTACTGCGGTAGGATCAGGTAACCAAGAATCTCGTCGCGCAACTCGCGCGGCAGGGCGAGAAGTGGTGAATCGTTATTGGAAGATGCCATGATTTCAACAGATTGCGAATTGGCGCTGGGCATTGGTAGTTGAGAACGTGAGGATCGTATGTCTTGCTGGGCAGGCGGTTTATGCTGCAGCCTTGCGGAGCGGATTTCCGCGCTCCGCACGTGGTCTGTGAGGGTGGCGATGGCACGCCTGATCAGAGCAGAGTCCAGTTCCTTTTCTTTCTTACTACTATTTGTGTAGTCTTCTCAGGCCCAGATTCCCCTAATGGGATAATTGGCATTTGACAGATAGATGGCGAGGGGTGCGCATCTATCGACGCCCACTGAGGCACAGGGCAGGAGCGGAAGACGGGGTTGATCACAGTGAACAATAAGGCGCGACACTGAGAAGAGCTACAAGCGGTAAAGATGCGATAGCATTAGAAGTACTGAGAGAGCATCTTGCTGGCAGGGGTAATGTCGGCCGTGGCGCAAATGCGGAGACCTGGGGATGGTTCGCAGAGCGGGATGACATCGTGCATGGGCTCGGCGGGGCGCGTTTGCGGCTCCAGCACAAACAACTTCTTGGGCTTGGGCTTGTCATTGAAGCATGCAACACCACCGCATGCCACCGTGCCGAACCTCACTTTCATCGCGACATGCACACTGATCTCTTTGTGTCATCTTACTAATAGACATTCGGGTACAGAAACATCCGCCGGTTCCCAATAGCCTGCCGTCGCGGCTCAATGGGCGCAGTGCTGTATTACCGCTATACCGCGTGCCCTTCGGAAGCTATCTGGAGTCCCGAGACGTCGTAGATCGGCCAAGGAGCGGTCTGGCTCAGTCACGAGATCATGGCGAACAACGAAGGAAGGCGCAGTATCACCCAAAGGCTGGCGCCATGGTGGGCATTGCGCTCGAACGAAGCCGCGCCCGAGGACACGGAAGGTGAGAGTAGCGGAACCCAAACAAACGCTCCTGCCCAGGTACGGCAAACCTCATACGCACCTTCCGCCGTTACGGCACGCCGCACGTGCATGCCGACAGCAACATCTGCTTTTGGCAGGCATGAGGCCATCATTACCCCTTCGCTCCTGCCATATGCTGACGTGCAACAGCCCGCGACCCTCTTTGCTAGCCCTACACCCTCCCCACGTCCCGAAGCCGCGAACAACCCGCCCAACATATATCAGCCTCTCATTCATCAATACTTCGCAAACCCAGGAGCGACATCTCACCGAGGCTCCTCGTCACGCGGCCGCCCATACAGATACCGCCTCGACCCACGTGGACGGCGAAGGCATCCTCCTTTCGCTCACTCACTGTACAACCCGACCCCTCAAGCACCAGAAGGTGAAGGCGAAGGCGAAGGCGGAGGCTCAATGTCAGAAGATCCCTACGACCACGAGCTTGCGATTGCCTTGCACATGGACCTGTTGGAAGACGCCGAGAGGTTTGGAGAACAGGATTCGGGCATATACGATCACAGTGATAGTGATTCCGGTGCCCACTCCCGGCGCGTTCACTTCACCGACGGCGACTGGGACGACGAAGCAGACCGAATTCCAGTTGGTGCACCAGCTCCCTTTGGAGGCCCCTCGTCACCCGCGAGCAATCTCCACCGTCCCTTCAACTACTCACATCACCACATCATGCCCGGCCCTTCGAAGCGCTCGCGCGATAGCTATGAGGGCCCAGAAGAAAAGGCCATCGCACACGTCCTTAACTTCAGGGGTGCCGTCAGTGCCATGCTATACAACAGCATCAGCCCCAACCCTCAAGCGAACGATATCTGGCCCGAATGCCGCAGTTCCACAAAACTACCCGCCAAATACTACCTGCTCGACAAGAGCAAACTGCTCGCATCTGATCAGGATCCAAAGCATCCCCCCTCTAAGAAAAGTGGAAAGAAGGCTGTAAAGACTGCAAGGAATGAGGCGTCGCATGACGCTCTTCCTAGTCCTTCGGTTGGGCGCCCGAAATGGAAGCTGCCGGTTGAGCTCGTAGAGATGATTGCGGAACACCTCAACCGCGACGACATAAAATCACTACGTCTTGTAAGCCGCGAGATGAACAAATCGGTCTCGCAGGTCATCTTCCGGACAGTGGTTGTTCCCTTCAATACCGAGATCTACGGCATGCTAGCACAAGAGCACAAGCCTGACTTCAAGGGCAAAAAGCGCGCACGAATCGAGCAACCCAGCTACTTATGGAAGAACGCAAACGGCGATGAAGTGTACAACGGCCATGGCCTCGACGTCTTCCGCGGCTTCGGTACACACATTAGGAAGTTTGGCATGAGCTTTGAAGTCAACGAAGAATCGCTTTCCATGCCGCCCGTCAAGTCACTGACGGAGAAAAAGACAAGCTTTTGGGGTAACTACGACTGGCCACATGAAGAGTATCGTCGCTTCGATACTGTCGCTGGACTCGAAAATGCCGCTGATGAAACACCGCGGATGAAAACAGCATTTTCCGAGCTTAAAAGTGTCAGGGAACTGGCGCTTTCCATTGATAGCGGTTTAGGATGGCTGAACGGACCGGACAGATCTATTCGAGCACGTGTCTTGCAAAAGCCATCTCGCGTCTTTGGCACTGCCAAAGCCATCCCAGATCGTAGAGCCCAGGCCCAACAGGAACTTTGGAATCACATTGAAGCATGCCACCAGAACGCTGGTAGCGATGTTAGACTGGCCACACTATACAGGATGGATGGTCAACTTCCTCTTGCCGAGCTGAAGGATGCCAACAATCTTGCAGATGAGCAACCACAGATGCCCTACTTGGATCCTCAGCTTCTCCATGCTGCTACTCCTTATGAACCCGGCGATCTCCCTGTTCCTAATAGCTTCGAAGACCCGTATGTTCTGGAGCGCTTTGTGTCAACCCCACCACCTTCAGGTACAGGTATTCTGTTCTCATCGAGTAAAATGCCATCGGAAGGAGCGCACCTTGTGAACCCTGTCATACCCGCCAAGCTCACCAAAGCGCAGAAAGAATGGCTATTGGAGACTGAGTGGGCCCAACGAGCGTTCATGTCTTCGTACATGCTCTCTATCATCGACAACCCGACCACGTTCGAACACGTACATACGCTGAACATTTCCGGGCTCTCCGATCGTTACCTTCCGATGCTAAATCGTTCGGATTTCTGGGACGCACTACCAGAACTCCACAACGTTACTATCATGGTGATCCCATGCTGGCGAACTGTGCAAAAGGACGAGGCCGGCTTCGTTGACGCGCCAAAGATTAGCCCCACGCAAAGCCATGGTATACTATTCGACCTACTCCGCCATCATGTTGCTGGTCGAGCGAACATCCGTCATCTGAAAGTTGGTTTTGTCACTGGAGGCGAACATGCTGAGGGACTATACGCGAGGAACAAACTGCTATTTCCTGCTCCCGTAATGGATATACGAGGTCGTTCAGAGAATCCTCCTTCTATCCACCCTACGGTGCTGGTCGCGACTGATGCAGCTCTTGTGAAGGCAGGTTTGATTCAGTTCCCTCATGTAGAACAACTCGTGCTTAACAACTGCTGGATTACGCCACCAGCTTTGCGCGAATTCGTCAAGATGCACGATCGGTACAAGTTGCAGACTTTGGTATTGGATTCGGTGTCACTTACGGGCGTGCTGCGTCCTAACGCCAACCCACACCCGCAACCAGCGGTATTTCACAATATAATGCCGCCTCATCTTCCGGTAGGTGCACTATTTGGCGCTGTCGGTGCCCAAGGTCCGCAATTAGTGCCAAATCAGCAGCAGTTCCTTCAGGCTTATATCCAGACGCTTCAAACGCAACTTCAACACCTACAGGCCCACGCTGGAGGTTTTCAAAACAACAATATAGCGGCCTTACATAACCAACTGCAACAGCAGATCGGACAGGTGCCCAACAACCCAGGACAACAGCCACATAATCAAGCTCAACATCAACCTCAAGGTCAAGGTCAAGCACCAGCTCAAGTTCAACCCCAAGGCCAACCCCAAGCTCCGGTGCAGCCACAGGCGCAGCCAAACCAGCAGGTTCAAGCAATCGCTCAACAGCATATCAATTTCGCCACTGTGGCCCAGCTCGCTCAACAGGTCCATCAATTGCAAACGCAGTTAATTCTGGGACAGCAGCCTCAACCCCTTCCTGCGTTAGCAAACAATCCAGTTCCAGGCGACGCTCAGTCTGTACTCAAGGCACAGCCCCGTGAAGGCTCTTGGATGGACATCATTGATCGAATCTCACCCGGCACCAATCTCTCCGACTTTGGATCTGAGCATTCCAAGGCCGACGGAGAGCGCACTACCTCACTGCGAACAATCGAGTTTGTTTCATGCGGTTATGCTAAGCTGTCCAGCTCATCCTTTGATCAAGCTGATGTCGATCCTCTTGGCATGGCTGCTCACTGGCGCAACCAGATGCTTAGCAAGCGTATTGTCGCTCTTGCGCCTGCTATGCTGAGCGCCAAGTGGAGCCACCTGGGTGACATTGTGCAAGACATCGATCCTTCTGAGCTGGCTGCACTAGACGCTGCCTGGGACTTGCGAACCGGCTGGGAAGACGCTGAAGCAGCTCGCGCTGCTGAGTTTGATGGCATGCTTGCTGGTGGTACAGGGCGTTTTACAGGCACCATACGGCATTCGGATAGGGTGGCTGATGAGGCTTCTGCGAGTTAGTGGAATGCTTTTGAACGCTCTGATCTCATTGCGTGTATGCTGACATGTCACATAGATGTTTCTGAACTTTCGTCCCGGTTTCAGCGGCTTGGTATGTCATGGGAGGACTGATGAAGCTGTAAGATACTACCGGCGGGGTGTTTGTCTGGTGTCTAGAATCTACTGTCAGCGGACTAGGCCACTTGTTCGAATGTGTTTACTAGCGGCGTGGGTCTTGTACATCAGGTGTCAGCCGTGCGACCAGAGGTTATCTTGATTAGACAGGGCTCTGTGTACAGCGGCTTCAGTTGACCATGTACAGTAAAGGGTATACATGTAAAATACCAAAATTCATTCGTGATAGACTGCTCTCTGTGTGCACTCGCAAGCGGGGCTAGAATAGCTTCGCATCCCTCTCGGCACTGAAGTGAATTGCGTGTTGCGCTAAAAAAAAGATGTAGGCCTTTGTACGCTTCGGTGAAAGGGGTCAAAGAAGTCTACATTAACGCTCTGCCATGTGTTCCCAAGTCCATCACGCAACTGAAACACCATAGTGGCTCTTCCCTTTTCTCCAACCCGTAAGGTCACAATTACACCTTGCCTAACATACCCTCAATACATCAACAACCATGTCATTCCAGATTCACATCATCGCGGACATCAAACCCACACAAACCGGACCCGATCCACGTCCCACCACCGAGTCCTGGGAACAATACATGGCACGTTTAGGCCTCCCATCCAACGCGAAACCGTTGGACTTTCCAGATGAAGCGGCGAGGTACGATACCAGTGTGACTGTTGCAGAGGATTACGCTGCGCATTTGAAGGAACGGAAGGAGATGTTGAGGGAGAGGGCGGCGAGGGCGAGGGCTAGAGCGGAGAAGGAGAAGGAGAAGGAGGAGGAAAGGGAAAGGCTGGAGGCTGAGGCGGAAGAAGCGAGGGTGCGGAGGTATGAGGAGGAGGAGGAGGAAGAAGAAGAAGGGGATGCAGATGCGGAAGGTGCGAGTAAAGGCAGTGGTGGTATTGTCGCGAATGAGGAGCGTGATGAGGTGTCAAAGCGGCGGAATGTCTTTGGTAGACTGAAGTCATATCTTGGACGAAGGGTTTTCGGGAAATGTAGGAAGGGAGCTTGAGCATCTAAGTCATCAGATGAGACACTTTCGATATGTCGCAGGATCAATGGACAATCTGTTGTACTTGACATGTCTTATCATTTGGTCTATGTGCTGAACACATACTCAAGACTAACATCCTTTGTGAAGTAAGACAATATTGACGATCTGTACTTGCGTGAAATACTGTATTTATAACGTATAATCTAGCACCACAGCAACACCATCATCATCACATCCACCATCATCATCACATCCACCATCATCATCACATCCACCATCATCATCACATCCACCATCATCATCACATCCCCACCATCTCCATCCTTCCTTCCACCAGCCAAACCACCAACACACCCACCCCACCATGCCATCCAACTCCCTATCCTCCTTCCCCCTATTCACATTCACCACAGACCTCATCTCCCGCCTCGCCACCCTCACCAACAGCGCCCTCGACGGCGTCGTCGCCTCCATCTTCACCTACTACACGCATCGCGCCGACAACACAGAAGTACAAGACCTCAACAGAACCATGTCTTCACTTCATGCAAAGAACCTAGAACTCCGCCACCAACTTCTACAATCTCAAATCCAAAACGGACAAACCATCTCTGAGCTGAGGGCTGAAAAAATGGAGTTGAGCCAGCAGGTTGGAGTTCTCCAGGCGCAGCTCCAAACACAAGATTGGACAAGGATTTCGGAGCTGAGAGAAGAGATGGAAGGGTTAAGAGGGGAACTGAGGGAACGCGGTGTGAAGATTATGGGGCTGGAGGAAAAGTATGACCGGCTTGCGAGAGAACGTCGCGGAAAGCTTTGGGGTGTGGTACGCGGCGGGCTGTGTGCGGGGATGTAGGGGGAAGGAGCATGTTTTCCAAGAGAGGCTTTATAGCTGGAGAGATGGAAGTCGGGAAATAGAATCATGTTGTATCTAGTCTATCTCTATCCTTTCCATGCAACATGTCAACAATCTATACCGCCAATATCCTCATTTCCCCTCAAACTGTATTCACCCTTCGCACAACAAACTACTCATAACCCGCGGGCTCGATCCTAGACGGAAAAGCCGGCTCATCCAACCGACTCGCACAAGCCGCCTTCCAATTCTTCGGCGTATACCTATCCACAATAGCCTTGAACGCGTCCAGCGTGCAGAAACTCGTATCGCCGTCGAGATGCTTGCCCGGTGCTTTGCAACCGGGTATCTCCATGACTTTGTCGTTGTACCGGAGACGGACGTAGTAGTCGTTTAGTTGATCGCGTTGTGCGGTAGTGAGATCGGTGATGGGCTTGCGGGCTATGCCTTCGGGGGTGAGGCTGGAGTCGGAAGTGGTTTTTGTGCTGCCGAAGAGGGAGGACCACCAGCTTTGGCTTTTGAGAGCGGGGTTTTGCTCTGTGGGGGCGACGGGAGGGTTTGTGATGGAGGTGGGGTTTCGCTTGCGGAACATTTCGACGGCGATGTGAGAGGTGAATGGGGGCCATTTTTCGCCGTTGAAGGCACCGAGTGAGGTCAGGACACCGGCTAGTGTAGTATCGTGGCATCCTGACATGGCGAAGCGGATGTTGGTTTCGCCGCCTCGTCCTTTGCCTAGTTTTCCGTCTACGCCACCGACTTCGACGATGCCGGAGTTGCCGTTGCGCTCGACGCTGCCGACCATTCGGGAGGTGATGTCGCCCATTAGGCCGCCGATGCCGAGCATACGGTACTCGGAAGACTCAGTGTAGCCTGCGTACCATTCCTCGACCGCGATCTTATCGATAATGGCACGGGCTTTGGGGTCGTAGAATTCCTTGGGAAGCTTGGTCTCCGGACCGTGTGCGTCGGTGGCGTTGAGAGTGTCCATAATACCGGAAAGCCTAGGGTGAGAGTCCACCGCTACCTTTTGCTCTCCTGGCATCCATTTCGAAAGCACCTTGGTGAGGTAGCGCATGTCATCGGTGTCGTTCCAACGCTCAGCTGCACGTTGCGCGAATGCTCGGCTCAATTGAGCGAAACGTCTACAGCTTGCATCGTTGGGGAAGAGCGTTTCATCTGCCGGGGTTCGGGTGATGATTGTTGGAGGAGGGAAGTCTGCAGTTCTTGCGGATGGTGGGTAGAAGCCCCAGAAGGCTTGTTGAAGAGACTCTAGAGCGCGGGGAATAGGCGTTGCGCGTAGATAGATCATGTCACTATCGGAGATGAGCTCGGGCATGAAATTGAGCTGGTTGACGTAGAGATGACGAAGACGCTCTCCTAGGGCTAGAGTTGTTTCACGGCCCTTGTCTGTGAGTTCACCGGGTTGACATATGGCATCGAATTCGCCTTTAGGTCCTGATGCAATGACTGGTTGTTGTTAGTGACCGACCGGAGTGAACAAGCAAATGTATTACCGGGTCCATCATCCATGCCAAAAGTTTCAAGGCGACGGCGGTATTTCAGCTGATCCCATTTCGAGAAGTCCTTGGTATTCAGTATTATACTGGTAAGTTGTCGGGCGGAGTTGCAGTAGGGCCAATCTTCTTCAGTCAGAAACCCCTCAGTCAGCTCGTGAGAGATGTCTTACAAGGTGGCAATCCAGTCTGATGATGTTAACAATGGCATTATCATGCACGGACTGGAATGCCTACATTTTGGAATCGCGGAGATACAGGGCTTCTTTCGCCTATGTGTATACGTCAGTATACGAGCTTGCCAACATGTCGGTAACACATCAATGTTACCCACCATGGCGAAGTAACTAGCATCTCAGTTAGTGGTGGCACGAAAAGAAGCTATGACATTGGTGCTCACAATCTGTACGAGCTGCAATTCAAGCTCTTTCGGATAAAGCTTATCGAGCTCCTCCTGCGAATAGAACTGCCGTGGGATCAGGGTCGTCATCGTATGTTCTATCAATCACACTGAGGCTCAGCGATAAAGATTGATCTTTGATTATAGCTCTTCCGCTATGCAGAGCATGAACAATGAGGTTGAGGTGGCCTGGAAGGTTTCTGGAGAAAGCCCGCAGTCACGTGAAGCGTGTGGACGTCATGGCGTCTCATTGGCCGGAGGTATTCCGCACAGCATCGCGACACCTTCACGCGATTTGTGGCTGCACGCATTTCTGTACAACAATCCACGCGGGACGGTATACTGGACTTAGGGGCGTTCTTTGATTCGACAGATCCGCGCAAATGAGGGCTTGAAAAGCGATTGTAGGTGTGCAAACTCATACGCCAAAAAGTTTCGATCTCACCAGCTAACCATCGTCGCCAGCGTTCACACCCCTCCACCCCCTTCAGGCTCGCCACAGCATTATGCTAAACGCATACGTATGTCGACAGTGCCGGACACGCCTTGCCCGACGGATTGCCCCCGTGCGAAGCCCTCAATGGCAACCTAGAGCCACGATTGTTTCGCTGGCCGGCCGAAAACCACACGATGCCGCCGAACCGCCAAATGAAGAAGCACCTACGCAAGATAGAGATGAGGAAGACGGCACACAGGAAACGAATCGCAACGGGCCAAATATACGATTTACGAGCGTAGACGGCGGGCAACCTCCCCGCAGCCAACGACCACTTGGCCGATACTCCAGACTCATGTACAACGAAACGAACCAGGGCTCAACACATGTTGGTGGTGGAGAGGAACCTGCATACGTCGATGCAGTACGGAACGGCTCGTCTGGAATGGGCACAGCCTTTGCTGATCCAGTGCTTGACGCTCTCCACTATGGCAAGATCAATGGAGCCTGGAAAGCGTTTGAGCGCATCTATACTTCACGCGACTGCAAAGCCTTGACGGAGCCAACAGATCGCGATGCGCAGCTACTAAGTGAAGACCGGGTATTTGCGAAACTCCTCAGAGCTGTCTCGAGTACCTTTTGCGCAGCCAGCCCGGGTTTGAAGGTTACACCAACTGCAGTACTTCTCAAATATGCGCAGCTTGGCATTGCTCGGAAAGAATACTGGGTCAGACCAACGATAGGTTATTTAACGTATGAAATCATACGTGCTGTGAACTCGCCTTCTGGATCGGCAAGAGACATCCCTTCACTAGTCACAGAGCTACTGTCTGTATGGCGACTCTTCTTTCAATGCATGGGGCCAGGAAGCGGTACAGTAGAGTCTGTCAGCACTGAATGGCACTTACCACCTGTCGACACAATTCCGGATATGCTTGATCAGAGACAGTTTAACATGCGCTTGCAAGGCTACATTCCCAACTATGTCGCTAGTCCTGCCTTGGCTTTTTGTGCTGTTTATTTTTACAGTATTTCGGACGCACTGGATCCAAAGACACAAAAGGAAGCCGCTCCCTTTCTAGCCTTCCTTAGACAACTACTTGCCGGTTCGTTTGTAAACTCAGTATTGAAACACACAGAAACCCCGGACTTTAAGAACCTACCAGAAGATCTCCAGGTCACGATTATGGAGGAGATCAATGACGCTCCACGAAAAGCCCTAGTAGCTCTTGGAAAAGCCGGCGAGACCCTTGGTCCAGATAATACAGGCGACGAGTTCTCCAACTTGGAATCATTCTACATGACCAGGATAGCGCGTGCTGTGTCAAGCAAAAGCTCGGCAGCCACGCTGGACAGCATGTGGCGAGAGACCGAGAAAACATACGCCACGCAAGACAAGACTATACCCCCCGCTATATACAACGCCTTTCTTTCTGGGTACATGACTGTTCTCAGCCCACAGCGCTCCGTCGAGGTCTGGAATCACATGATCGCTCACAAGGTCGAGCCAAATATGCACTCCTGGGTTGCACTTTTGGAAGGGTGCGCAAAGGCGAGGGATCTTGATGGCCTCAACGCAATGTGGCAGCGCATGCTGAGAACTGGTCTAGAGCCAAGCAACTATGCTTGGACGGCCCGTATCAACGGCTTGATGTCCCTGAAACAGGTCAACGAAGCCTTTGTCGCTCTGGACGATATGGGCAAACGCTGGCTTGCAGCCGAGCACGCTCTCGCCAACTCTCAGAAGCAGACCAAAGGACAAAAGGGGCCCAAAAAGGTCCCATCTTCCAGCAAAGCGGCGAACGCATGCACAAAGCCTTCTATCGAGGTCATCAACGGCGCCATATCCGCCATTGTACAAAACCGTAGCGAGAGAATACACCACCAGAAGAAAGTAGAGTTAGTACAAAAGCTGCTCACCTGGTCGAGGAACTTCCAAATCAAGCCCGACGCCATCACGTACAACTCCCTCGTACAGCTCTACCTGAGAGCAAACGACAGGAGCACCGCCTTCAAGATCCTCGCACAGATGGAAAAAGACGGACTGGAAGGCGACGCAGCCACCCACACCATGCTCATCAGCGCCGCCTTCGACAACCAAGTCTTCGACAACCTCACCCCAACCCAACAAACCGAACGCATCCTCAAGATCCTAAACGACCTCGAAGCCAACGGCCTCAAAATGAACGACTACATCTACGCCACAGCCATCGACCGGCTCCTCAAAAAATACTCCAATTTCCACGCCATGCGCGCCGTAATGGAACACATGACATCCCGCAAATTCGTCCCTAGTGTACATGTTTATACATCGCTTATAACACACTACTTCCAATCCGACCCCCCCAACATCGCCGGCGTCGACGACATCGTCCTCCGCCTCTTCAGCGCACCGCGCATGCCCAGCGACCGCGTCCTCTTCGACCGCTTGCTAGAAGGCTATGCGTCCTTTGGCGAGGTGGGCAAGATGATGAGCGTGCTCACGCGCATGAGCAAAAAACAGAATCTGCCTGGTTGGGGCGCCATGGCCGCTGTTGTGCGTGCGTTGGCGCAGGATGGCGATTACGAGCGTGCGCGCGCGATTGTGAGGGATGTGGCGCGTGGTGAGGGTGTGGCGCGAGGGGGTATCATGGGGGATCGGAAGGGAGAG